TGACATATAAGTATTAACTAAGTAATAATATTATAATTTTACTGTATACATAGCAATAGTTATTATAATATGATCACTTGTCCCTGGTTATGATCAAAAATCAGCTGAATTTAATATTAAAAAATTAAAATTATCATAGAGATTTCCGCAAATCAGTTGAAATGTATTATTATTTAATTATGATTTGTAATAAAACTAGAAGCAAAATTAGTGTTTTGAGTGAACTATGTACATTGAATAAATAATTTAATGAAAAAAAAACATAACTATTTTTATGTTTATATATTAGTCTAGTAGTAAATCTGATTGATCTATTTCATTCATGAGAATGTAAGTGTAGCTAATATAGGTACAAACGTAAATGTATATTATAAGTGTAAAATAAAATATTTTAAAAATTTATCTCAAAAGATTAAAACAATTTATTAGTCTGATTAGCTATATATGTAGGTAATTAAAAAATGAGATGATTAATTCAACGAATCATATAACTTACAAACACTGTAATGGTATGGGGGAGAGGTCCAAAATTGTGTTTAAAAAACTGAGGATACATCTATAATTTATTAACCTTGCATTATCTGTGGTATATAACAAAGTATAATGTTAACAAAAAGAAATATTTTTTTGTTTTATAAAAAAAAATATTGAATTTATTTCAATTTTATACAATAAAAATTATCTATTATGTTAAATAAAACAGAAAGTTTAGATAGCTTGCCATTTTTAAACAACTAATATGAAAAACAAAATAAATTATTACTATCTAGCTACTTATAATATTAATACAATTTACAAATACTAGAGGTAGAAAACAGCTATAGTTAAAAAAATTATTACTAACCTACATTACATCAACATTTTGTAGCATAACATAATATTTAAAGATTCATAGTATAAACATAATAACTTATATCAAACATTATTTATGTATTTGATTTAAAACTAATTTTACAAAGTCTTGCTTTTTTTTTATTTCCACAAAAATGCACTCCTAAATCTAGATCCTAGTGATAATCACTTCATAATGAAAAATATAACTCATACAATTTAGATGGTTCACTTTATACATCTCTTTCGGTACACTTATAGACACTGTTTCGTACCAAAAAATAAGTTCAAGCTAAACATCAATACACAATCTAAATATTAAATGATATACAGAGTTTATAAGATTTTCTAATAATTATCAAAATTTAAACATAGAACAATTCCATGACATAAAGCTACAAATCTATCAAGACTGAGAAGACTGTATTCAGTATTAATCATGAACTAAGATTTACATATTACATAGTATATTTATAGTATTATCTTAGTTCAAGGTGTTAATTAAAATATTAAATAGTAAGCAGTGGGAAATTAATGATAAAATCCAAATTGCTAAAATACTATACAAAAATGAAACAGTTGATATCACTTTTCTAAATTTTTTAATAAAATGAATCAATGGAGCATAATTTATTACAATATTTTTTTAGTATTTAATTCCCTAATGCCATGTTGCATAAACAATTTGATTAAACTTATTTGACCAATCATGGGCTATTAAATATTATTTAAGGGATCATTTTCTTTCTATTAATTCATTATATGTTAAGTGTAACCCAGCATAATATCGGTAAACCAAACAGAATTTTATAAATTTTATGAATTTTATTAGGTACTATTTAGTATTTATACTTAAGAGGATGTCAACAAAATATTATTAACTTTATCGCCCAGACTTATATGCACAATAAAAATAAAATCCTTTCACATAAAATTGTTTTTTTTTTCTTCAAATTTTTGAGTAATTTTAGAGCAAAATCACTTATTAAAAATACTATAGAAGTTTATATTTTTGAGAGTATGACTTATTGGTTTTCTATTTTCTATTGACTTAGTTTTCGATTTTCAAAAAAATAAAAATGTTTGTATATTTAAATGATGCTTAAATTTTTTTGAAACAATATTTAGACTAATCAATATATCATTCCTTCAACAATTTTATACTTTATTGATTATGAAATGGGTGATTTTACTCTAAGATTATTTGAAAACATAAACAAATATTTCTGTGTCTATGTGTTTCGTTTATATTGCGCATGGACAAGAGAGGGACAGAAAATAGTGCTTTAACATGTCCCAATTCTATCATTTTGTTCATTTCATTATTGTTTAGATTATGCATAAAATATATACAATTTTTTTTATAATCAAACTTAATTTAAAATTAAAACTATACAATGCATGCATTAAATTAATTGAAAACAGTATAAAAATTCTCGGTTCTTTAATAATTTTATTAATGATTAGTTCTATGATTTTTTTTCTACTTATTTAGTTTAATTATACATATTAAAATATTGTACTGTTTGATGTACAACATTAATAAGAGGGATTATTGCATTTGAACATTGCCTACAAAATTAATTCAATTCTATTATTATTTATACATATTATTAAAGACCTATTATTTATATAAAATACTTAATTAATATTTTAGGTAGGTACATATTTTTCATTTCAATTAAAATGTATTGCTTAAAATAGTTAATTCAAAGAGTGATTTAACTAACTAAAAATATGATAAAAATAATTCTATATCTTAATTTGTAAGTTATGAATAAACATTTAACTAAATCATTTTAAAATAAAATAATATTATAATTTATATATGACTATTTATGTAGTAAGTTTAAAAGAAATAATTTTTATACATTGATAAATGAAATTTCAACATGGATGAAAAAAAAAAATACACAAAATAAAACAACTTTTGTAATATTATCTTGATCATAATAATTTTTTGAAAAGAGCCCAAAGAAAGACTATTGACCATTAAATATGATCATAATCATAGACGTAAATTTGACTTTTTTAATATGGGGGCAAAAATAATTTTTGTGAATCTCACTATATTAATATACTATTATATTTAGCTATAATACATGTGTAGCAAATGAACATAATATTAGATAAAAGTTTGATATTATGCTCTTCACTGCCTCTAAACAGCCCGCAATTACCTAATAGTATAGTTCAATTGGTGGAAGCAATTGCCACCATTCGACCCCATCAAGTTACGCCTATGATCATAATTAAAGAACAATATTATATTCCAATCAGTGCCAGACATAACCATTGTGCCTCTTAAAACACTAAAAAAATTGCCACCTTTTAATATGAATATTTTTCTGGTCAAAAAAAATGTTATTAAGGCATACAATTATAGTTGTTTCATATGTGATTTAAAATTAAATACAACATTTTATAATTAGTTGAATTTCTTTTATTTTTAGTTACATATAATAAAAATGTAATATAAAAAAAAATTGCCAGAAATTGCCACCCTATAAGCACTAGCTTAAGAAAATACTACATAACTATTTGTTGTGTTTGTCCTACAAGTGCATAACATTGTGTAGTTGAACTCCATTAGTTTAAAAATTAGTGTGAATCGACCTATTATGAAACTCGATGTTAGGAACAATATTTGTGTTTGTGTGATGGTTTTTTTACAATAGTTACAAATAGTTACAATATGTAGCAAGTTATGAATATATAAAAAAGTTTAAATTAAAAATGCTTATAACTCGAAAATTATGTGCACTCAGATCACGACTAATGTAATATGTTTCACGAAAACTTACTCAGATAGAAAGGAAAACGACTTTCATCAAATTACATGGGCTATAAATATAACAATGAATACTTTTTTTAAATTAATAAAAGCAAAATATTACATATAATTATTATGCATTTAAAAACCTAACCTAACCTAACCATATATATGCAATAAAAAATTATAAAATACATAAGTATGCAGTATACCTATGTCAAAAAATAGCAAAATATGAAAAATATGCAAAATAACATTTTGTACTTCGGATCTTTTTACCTATAATTTAATAAAACTTGTAACTTACCAAGCTATTAAATTTAGTTTGAATTTAGAATCTATATTTTTGTATCTAGTTTGGATAATCTAGAAACATTTTGACAATTAGAAACTGAAAATTTTTGGTCAAACGCGTTTGAACTGTAAAAAAATGAATTGGAACCCTTTCATAACAATTAGAACCAGAACCTCTCAAAACATCTAGTTTTAACATTTTAAAAATCAAAACCATTGGAATTCTTATTTAAATTAATTTTAAAACCAGACTAACTAAAACTGATACTTTTATATTTTTAGTTGTATAATAATAATAATAATCATTATATCATATTTTATGAAAAATAAAATGGAACATAATCATTAAATAATTTTAACTTAAATTATTTATGGAAAAAAACCTATATACTTTTAAAAGGGTAACATTTTAGTACTTTTAAAAAGAAATAAAACAATATCAGTAACAAACTTAGAGGTGTTTGGTGTAATAAAATTTGAGAAATTGCAATCAGTGAATAAATAAAAATAAGGTTATTTGAAAGAAGGGCATATATAATGGCGATGCCATAACACTATAACACATGTCATGATAATTGAAGTCAAGTGTCACTCAATAAAAAATATTTTTTAAAGAATGTTAGTTTTCTAACAATCAAATCTTATCAAATCTAAAAAAGTTATTAAGGTTCTAGTTCCTGTTGATGACATACACACTAACACACTATCTATGAAGAAAAATTATAGAATTATTTAATTTAAGTAACACTGTTAGCAAAATAGTCTATAATTTATTATAGCACAGAAAAATTGAAACTTGATTAACTAATTAGGATATTGTTTACATGTAATCTGAAGTACCGCCCACCAAAAATCATGGAAATCAAACCTAACCTAACCTAACCTTGATTTAAGCGCTCCACACAAACACTACACTACTTTCAACAACTGTATAATATTGAATTTTAGACAGAACTATAGTTATATTTAAATCATCCTATAACAATGAATTTATAGGTAAAGTATTTTCAATATGATTTTTTTTTAAGAAATTGTTATGAAATCAAATTAAAGAATTTAAATAGAAAAATAAATATAAATATTATTAAAGAACCTAGTTATTTTGTTATTATTTTATAATATTATCAATATTATTGAGTTTAGAAATTTTGGATGGYTTAAGAACTTGATTATTACAAGGCAATTCTGTTTCTAATTCCGGATTAGAAAATTTGGCTTTAGATTTTTTTCTTTTTTTAGATTTGGCAGTGTTTTTTTTAATTTCTCGTACTTTCTTTAAATCTATTTCATAAATTGTCCAATCAGTGATTTCATAATTTATATTTGTTGGATCTTTAATCTCATCGTATTCATCAATATCCACTCCAAGGATATCCATTAGAGACTTCATCAAATTGTCTACATATGTATGAATAACTAAATCTGCTTTACGATCCTTAATAAAAAAAAATTACAAAATTATGATAAACATTTTAAAAAAGAAATATTATATTATACAAATAATTTAAAATAATAACTATATAATACTTACGCAGTTTGTTTTTTGCAAATTGCAAATAACGACTTTTCCTTTGTTTTTCTTTGCGTTAAATGGAACCAGATTGATTGGTTGAATTTGTAATGAAGTTCCAAGACAAATGCATAAATCTGCCATTCTGAAAATATGAAAACCATTTTTGTATTCGAAAAAATAAGTTAACTAGCATAATATGAATTGATTAATTACAAATATTTGATGGTTTTTTTACATAACTATAATACTTAATAACATACTTTCATAAATTAATTACATTCAATAAAATAATAAGGGGATTTTTTCAACTGCATTTAAATTAGGTAAATTTTTATGGGCCGACCGACTTTATGATAATACTTGTGTATAATAGTCATTTGCACCTATTAAAATAATGTCAACTGTGCTGAAATAATTTTTTAATCATTATATTATACAATATTAATTTCAATCTCAAGCAGAGTTCACTAAGTCATATCAAGTAAAATAAAATTATGTCAAGCGATAAATATGTATAATTTTCAATATGCAAAAATATTTGTAATAAAAAATATTTAAATGTTAAACATACAGAAAATATAATTACTTTGAATGTAACTCCGATAACTCCAACTCTTCAATGGGTAATTGATGTTCCCAGTCTAGTATTGTATCATATAAAATACCTCGGCATTGATAACCATTCTTATTTTTTCCAAAACATTTTATGTCCAAACATCGCTGTCCAACTGTTTTTACAGCAGTCTTACTCACATAACTCCTAGTATATAAACAAAACTAAACAACTAAATTATTTCTAACATAGTGATTTAAATTACATAAAGTTTTTAAATGGTTTTTTAATTCTTAATATAAAAATAAAAATTATAAAYAATACTATTTGAAGTAAAACAAATAGTGCATTTTAAATCAGGGCTTAAAGACTGATTATAACCAGCCATGAAAATAACTTGGATTTTCCAATTTAAACTCTAGCCGTGGCTGAAGCCAAAAATAAAAAATTTAAGTTTAAATGTTTGAAACAATAGACTATACATGCATCATAGATATTGAACTTATGAATTCAGCATTGTATATGTGTATATCAACACAATCGATTCCATGTAAACTGCAACACTGTTACACCTCGTTTATCTTTTATTTAAATGTTAGTTAATGTTTCTGTGCAAGTGAGAATCATCATTAAGTCTCCTCGTTATATAGGCCATAAAGTGTATGTTTAGTGATGATGGAATTGCCACATTCATATGTACAACATCAATTACTTTCTTACTGTATGGCAATAATMAACAGGGTTAGAAATTATTCAAAAGTAAAATAAAAATAATGTAAGTTACAGTGATTAATAAAATACCAAAAGATGAATATCATATTTTATCATTTATAATTATAAAAAATAAATATATTTAGGATGAAAAATATTTTTAAAAGTGTCTCATTAGGTAATACTAATTTATTAATGCTCTTTATTCAACTTGTATGTTTGAAAATAAAACCACACAATATAATGATAATTTATTTATTATTAAATTCATGTAATTTAAAAATGACACTAAGTATACAAAAAAAAATTGCATTAAAATTAGCTACCTACAAGAAATTTAGAATATTTTAATTTACCTTCTGCACTTGTTACATTTCATTGTAAACATATTTCCATGGACTTCAGATACATGTTGGCGATGTAATCCTGACTTTAAATGCAATCCATCTATATTCTGACTCACAACATATTTTGCATATCCTAATAAAATGYTTAAAAACAATGTTAACAATTTGTATTGACCCTTATTAGCTAATTAATGCTAAATAAGTATTAAAAAAATATAAAGACTGTAAATTTGACAAATTAAATATTTAGTATTTTCATATATATTTGTTTACCGTTCTCTATCTAGAATAAAACAACATACAATAATATTTACTAACCTCCTAGAGAATGGAAGAAACATAAAATCAAAGTTTTGTTGTAGTTGATAATTTTAGCTTGAATAAGTAACAGTTAATTTTAATTTAAAAATTCATACTCAAATTACCTGTGAATAAAGCGTGTCTAATATATCAGTTAAAGGAAAATTTACTTATTTCAATAAATAGCTATAATCAATACAATGGCACTAATCAAAAGTTATTTTTATTAATTGTTATATAATATTATCATATTTGACTGTGATATTTTGTATTTTTTTTTTTATTGGAGTTAAGATTTTTAGGTTTAAAAAGAGTTAAATATTTTTTTAAGAGAGAGAAAAATATGCTTCAATTTGCAATTTTTTAATTTTTAAGAAAAAGTTATCAACTACAATAAAGATAAAAATTACTAATAGCTCTAAAAATGGAATATAAACTCATTACAACATAAAATAAAAAATAAATATGAATATAATGGCTGTACTTGCATTAAACAATAATTTACCTATATMAATAAAATTAATTTAGAACATAGATACCTACATATACATTTTAATTTTTGTAGATTGAATTAGAAATGTAAAAAATAAAAAAATAATTACAAACTATTATATGGTTAAAAATAATTGATGTACAGTATACACATGCTTAGATAAATTACATTGCAACTAAGGTAATTGTGGATATTTAAAATAGTAAAAAAATATTAACATTTAATCATTTTTGATTTTCGTTTAAGTTCTGTATAACAAAAAKAATAATATGAATTACATATGCTACATATATATTCATTTTTTCAAATTTGTAAAATTCAAAATAGAATCCAATACCAATATAAAGMAAACCTTTATTTTTTAATTTCTTCGCATTTTCTTTAATTTCTTATATCACCCCCAAAACTGCTACTGACCACAATATATATTAAATGATCAATGAGCGTTATAATATTCAAAATCAAGTTTCTATTTATTTATAAAATAGTATATAAATTATACATATCATACAACAATAAATAACTTCATAATTATTTAATCATAAGATAATTTCTAAATAATAATTCAAGAATTATACCTTTTTTTACCAAGCTTTTGATTGCCATATGTGTGACTGTTGGTTTAGCATCATTGAAATCTAAGTTGATTTCAGGTTTCTTTCCTTCTTTTTCTAAAGTCCATACTCCTTTAGGTCCTCTATAATTTATACATAATATTTATTAATTTAACATTAATACAATTTATCAATAGAAAATGTCAATTTAGTTTTTTACTCTATAAAATGTTGGTTATATTAAATTTATATTTATTAGGTACTTAAGTTCTTAAATATAATTTTTCTCGAGTTGTTATATTGAGTGATAGAGAATTCCTTTCTTTAAAATGTTTTCAATATTTAATAAAAATGACATATTAAATAGTAAATGTATTTAAAGTTACAAATAACCAATATAAATAAAGATCATCTTAATAAGGTTATTTTAGTAAAATTGACTCTTCAAACATTAGGAAAGTTGGTTGTCTTGTATTTTATTTTAAATAAGTAATAAATTGTTAGCCTTAAATATTAATCATGTCATACATACATTAATAAAGTATGTAAAAAAAAAAAAAAAACTAAAAATATCTAAAATATTATTTTAAAACACATTTTTATTATAACAATAACTCATTATACACATTTACCTAAAATCTGGTATACCCGCTGATGTACTTATGCCAGCACCTGTATGAAAAACTGTATATTTAGAATCTTTGATCCACTCGGCAAGAAGTGAAATCTTTTGTATTAAAACTTCAGGAGAGTCAAAAACCTAAAATAAATATAAAATGTATTGTTACGGATATTTTAACTGTTATAATTATTATATACTTACTTCATTCATACCAACTTCCCCTTTATATTCATATGGAGATAAACCATCAGCATAGTTGCAAGACATTTCTCTTTAAATTATTTGAATGATCAGCAACATTAAAATAAAAAAAGGTACATATAAAAAATTTATTAGCTATTATTGCGAGTATGGTATATTTTTGTATGCATGTTAAATTTGAAATTTGAAAAATTAAAACCAAAAATCTGAGAGAAATGTGATTAAATGGGTTTGGAGATCATGTTAATTAAGATCATTAACTTGCCGAAATATTTGTAACAAGATAAATTTAATTAATTACTACATTTTACATTAATGAATGGTGAATTTATTTTCTAAATATAAGTTAAATTTCAAGATAATTATGAATCTAAAAAAATGTAATGCGAAAACAAGATACCGAAATATTCTATTTATATTGATCTCAGGTATATATAATTAATCTGTATCGAAATAATAGCCCCGTTACCAACTAAGTTTATTGTTGCAAAACTTGAAGAGATTACTTAAATGTTCAAATTACAATTTTGGTACAAAAAGGGATTAGGCGATATCAATAAAACTGTGATAAAACGTAGGCAATATTAATTTCCCTCCCAATGTAATTATATTGGTTTATTAATTGCAAAACGTACTTAACCTCTAATACACTATACACATATGATGTAACATGGGTAATTTGGGTTTAATGTTTGGGCGAAATCCACCGAATGCTTACCTTGGTGAAGAATGTTCGTTTCGTGATTGTGGCGCGAATTTGACTCGTTTCTGATAGTTACCACTTTAATAATGATTGTCGACGACGCCGACGAGCATATTCTCTAATATTATATGATATTAATAAAATGCAATAATGTTTAATTTCGTTAATTCCACCGTTTCCGCGGTACTGTTTGCAAGCACATTATTTTCTAGTGTTATCTCGAGTTATCTCCATAACATTAATATCATTTTATCTGAGATAATATTAAACCAAAGAGCTGAATTATTTTAAGTTATAATCACGGATATAGATACCACGATAGATCGTGATAGATACTATAGTATCTAATAATAATAATAATATAATATTCATTATAATTTAATATATTATTTTAATTATTATTACTTATTAGTCTGTATTATTACTCTATGGCCTGAACGCCCGGCGCCCGGCTACGCACAAAAGATTGATTCCATTAATTGTTCGTGAGATTTCTCGCACGTAGGTGAGTGCATTTTTGTAAATAYCATAATCCTGGAAGTCCAACATGACAATGTATGTTGAGTAGGTAGATTTGTGCAAATACGAGTAGTAAGTTTTTGTAGTGTTGCMGATTCGTTTTCGTCACAAGTAAAAATTTGGAATTTTTAATAATATAATAATATTAATACCATAGACCTATTAAATTAATAGGTATATGAACATTACATTCGGTCGACAATTTATTTGTACAAATTTATACTCTCAATGTTWTATAATTTTTGTGTTTTACCTCCACAATAATATTGTCCACGACCKTATCAATGAYAAACGATATCACTTAAGTCGTTGTATTTTATTTTTTATTTATAGTGAGATATCGACATAAATTGCTTGAAAATCTTTTCTATATTWATAATTAATAATATTTGTTTTTACTCGGTGTAAATTTAAATTGATATTTAATTTTATTAAAACTAGGCGTGTGAAAATGTGTTGGAAATTGTTTTKAATACTTCCAGTGAAGCTTGTAWTTCAACTTTMTTGATACATTATTAAGATTATCGACAGGTATGAACAATATTTTCTTTAAGTAATTTAGTTATGTAGTACAATTTATTTTATAATATGATACTGATGTATTGGAGAGAWTTATTTATGTGAGTTCTTGTAAACTACTTGAATACTATAGAACTACTTGAGTATCGATTCAAATATTTTAATTCAAGTTAAATTCGATAATTTCACCAACCTATCAATAGTTTTATTAGAGCCAAATTGTACTTGTATAATATCATATTTGATGACTGTCAATCACGTTCTATACTTTTTTTTMTTAATTAAACAATTTTTAATGCGATTTATTCTACAGTTTTACCTACTAGATCAATTTGTTGCCATGCTAATGAAAAACCCATCCTAGTAAATWCTTCTTATAACCTTCTACCTACCTACTTAATTGATTTGTGATACTGTTAGTGTTCTTATTATGTTTGTTCCAAATTATTGCATTATACTTAGGTTGTGGATTATTAAAATATGCCTATTTACTCGACAATAAATTATTTTGGRGACTGTAAAATATGCTATGTACTATGAAAATGTTGYCTAYCTTAGTTTCATGTTATTTAAAGATGCTATTGGTATGGACTGGCRTCCTGCATTGTTTAGCTTACAATCAATTAGGTAGCTATCACCTGGGTGGGTYGCCATACCAAAGAGGTTGGTGTTGAATGTAATAATCATAAGTTATGTGACGTATATCAATTTGAGTTATTAAAAATCATAAAAGCAATACAATTCTAAAAAAATAAACTAAAARAGCATAAATGAATGGAAATTACGGGCCATAGATAAGCATGTGCGTACACAGGATTTGGAGTCACACATGAAAAGAGTTCTACTAATTAATATTCTAAATGAGGTATATKTTGAATTAATAAATGTACTATATGAAAAATGTGGTCATCCAAGATGCACACTTGATCCGAGCATGGGCAATTAACATTTCCGTCAAGATTAGATGATTACAAAACATCTGTGAGAATAGAGACAAGAGTAAGTAGACTATGGAGAGTATAGGGTTAAACTATAACCAGAGCACTTTCATGAGTTTGTTTTTCTAAAATAATTATTTGGRCTTAGAATAATTTTAACAGAATAATATTTTGAACTTGATAAAGGCAAATTGAATATTTTCTAGACACTTTAAATATTTTCACTAATTGAATTAGTCAAATCATCTGTTGTAAGATTTACCATTGACTTTCATGTGTTTCTTTTAAGAGGACGCCACACCCGTATGTGTTGTCTCCGCCGTAAAAGTGCATATCATAACAAATTGTTCGCTCAGCAGATCACATTTAGCTCCATTAGTTTAAAATTTARAGAGTGAATTGACCTATTATAAAAATTAAAGGCAAGATTATTATCTAGGGTATCTCATGGGCTTTTTATTATAATTTAATTTAAAAGCGAGTCAGGAGACAACACATGCAGGTGTGGTGTCCTCTTAATAAATTACAATAAATTACATAATAAAATTAATTGTTTGAGTTCAATCTAGAATTACCTCATCATCATCTTTAGTTCATGATACCTATAGGYGACGAGATCACTATAGTATCTTCAAATAAAAGTTGCCGTTCCTTTATAATTCAGTATTTCTACTTTGTCAATGTTTTCATTTATAATGTGTAGGTTATATATAATAAGCAAATCCTTYGTTATACAAACACAAACCCTTTATTGTCCTATCTAAAATAAGCATATTAACTGAATGCTCAGTTTCTGAATTTTGTCAAGAAAAATATCATAAATATTTATTTGTTGTACTTTGTGAATATATATTTCTAAAAACATAAGGTAATTGTAATTAGGTTAATTGCCTTAGGCCGATCGCACACCAAAAGAGCAAAACTGTGTTAGTCATCGTTAGTCATATTTGTTTTAATCAACTTAAAACAATTTGTTTTCTATATACGCATATCAGTTAGTCAAGATAAGTCTAGACAAACAATATTTTAGTTAWTTTTTAGTTTCAAAAATGTCATCTGACGAAGATGTTGCCATTTGTATGTGGTACTCTCTACACAATTTAGAAGAACGGG